TATATGTACAATCAGCACTTTTGAATTGCTTAACATTTTATTTAGCGAAGTAAACTGTTTACACTTCGGCTTTACAACACGATTGTTTCCTGATACTACAAATGATCTGTCTATATATGACTGTCTATACATGAAGTATGAAAGTTGTTTCACCGCTGACCACTCGTATTTGGGTCGTTTTTTCTATCCCCGCTCGTCGCCCGTGATGTAGTAACTCCCTACAATACTACGAGACTAGACCACGTGACAGGCGCTCGACTCTCGTGTACAGATAAATAAATAAATCCGATCGTGCCATAATGTGGCTACACACGTTGTGTAAGCCACACAATAAAACAATCTTACTGACGGTATGAACGGACATTATTGGTCATGTTCTCTTCGAAGGAACGAGTTGGTAAAGAAAGGGATTCGCAAAGGAAAAGAGGGGTAACTGTGTTATCCCATAGAAAGTTAAATCTGCAGCCACCAACACAATCTTTGTCTCAGTTTCGTACTTGGCATGCGCTTTCGATGTACGGCGTGGCATGCGAATAAACACCTTGCGTGGTGAGGTATCTTAGAAACAATAAAATATCCAACAAACCTCTCAGAATCCGCAGCTTCCTGGTTGACTGAACCTTTGGTAGACCTTTTGGTAAACCTTAACCTTTTGCCATCCCAAACCCAACAGTCGCTCAGAATGCTTCTTCCGGCAAGTGGTGCAAATAGCTATAAAATTGCATAATACAACTGATAAATCGTCGTCGTCTTCATCATCGTCATCGTCTAGCTTAGCCTAAATCATTTCTAAGAGAAATACTAGGCGTTTCAAACACATCTAGAAGACCTATAGTCTCTATCGTGCGTAACATTTGTCGTTGTGGGTGTGAGATAAAGGAAAAGTTTTTTCGAACCGTAGAGACGAGTAAAAGAGGGGCGACATCGCGCGAGGCATGGGAAGGAGATGCAGATTCACCGCTCAGGACTATATTTGTTTCCGCTATTACCATTAGCCAGGCTGCCCAGTAGTCTTAGTGTAGCAATAGCATAAAAGAATTAAAGAAATATCCTTGGTTGACGATAAAACACGCATTTTTGTATTTACGATTGCGACACCAATAATTAACCCAGGGAAATGGACATGTGACCAACGTCAGCTATTTGTTTCCTCTATTACCATTAGCCAGGCTGCCCAGTAGTCTTAGTGTAGCAATAGCATAAAAGAATTAAAGAAATATCCTTGGTTGACGATAAAACACGCATTTTTGTATTTACGATTGCGACACCAATAATTAACCCAGTGAAATGGACATGTGACCAACAACAACAGAAACTTTTTTGGGGTATTGACATTTGAGGAAACAGAACCAGAGAGAGCCACAAGGCTATTGGTACTTACGTGATCCTACAGCGGTGATTTCTTTGAATTTAAGTCTTATTTCGTCAGCTATTTGGAAGGTTATGACGTGGCTGCCCGTCACACTTGTAACTTTCCCAGTATGGCCAGGGTATTGGCACGATCTTGGACCTCGCCAGAATCTTCCCAGTAAGTGTCTGTGCCTCGGGCAGATGGTCATTCCCTTGAGCTGAATTCTCGACAAATGCTGAATTCCCGCTCTCGCCATGATTAACTTGGCTTCTGTAAATTCAATGCATTTTGACAAGTGGCAACTAGCCAAATGGGCGGATATATCTGCGTTACACTCAGAGAGCAAAACATGCTCTACTTCCTCCCTACTAGAACCGCACGGACTTTGAAGTATTTCGTAAAGAGAACAATTTGGGGGAACAGCAGACATTTTAGTGCTAACAAAGAAGACGTCCCAAGAAACACTATCTCGGATTTGTCTGAAAATCTTGCCGAAAAATTTTTTTATTCCTGACAGATTTTAATTGAATTAGGAAGAAATAAACAAGTTTGCCAAATATTCTTTCGCAAAAAATAGAAATGCCACACAGAAAAGTTGAAAAGTTTTACTCTAATAAGCTTTAAGCAAAAACATTTCGTGTCTTTCTGAAGAGATGTACCTGTAATGAAAGGAAATGTAGCTGCCGTCGAATTCCTTTTTAAAAATTGATCAGTAATTAAATTAGGTGAAACAGAAACCCACGGCTCCTTTTTGGCGCCTCGTAGAAAATGAAAATGGTCATAAAAATATAATACAAAATTTTTTCATGAAATACCGAAAAAATTCCTACAATACAAAGCAAAAAAAAAGAAAAACACAACTCTTTCTCATCAAGAAAACGCTAAAAAAATGTGTCCTGGACTACACATTGCATAACTTTCTGTAGCTAATTTGCATACGGTAATTTATTAACCGTTAGAAAGCTCTCCCTCCTTGTTTGTTCTTCAGCACACCTATATCTCAAATACAACGGTGTAAACGTGATATGATACTTATTTCTAATGTACAAACCAACCTCTCATTATTTATTACTTGATTTTATGATGGTTCTCGGTCCTGATATTGATAAACCGTCGGACCGTGTTTTATCGAGATAAAAACACTTGAGCGCAAAAGAACAACTTTATTTATCAAAACAGACTGGATTCCGATGGCGCATTGTGTTCAAAGAAAATGGCTCTTGAAATTATACGTAATGCATTCAAGAAATGATACAACTGTTGAGTTTCCACATTCTTAAAAACACTTCTTTGAATAGCTAAATGTTGTTACGGAAACTGTTTGTGACGTGTATCGTATAAACGCGGTCGCTGCAGCCAGGAGGCCGCAGTTAATTTGCATATAGGGATTAAAAAGTATTTTCTGGAATATTTGAGCCATTTAGTTAAAAAAAGGCCAAAATGATGATTAATATCGATCTTGATACTCCATCAGATAATTGTTCCTGCACCTTTAAATGTTTTAGGGCTGTTAAGCTTTAAAAACCTGTCTGCTGGTCGGACTGCGTTATCGTTGGTTTCGATCAAGACGGCGAATATTTATTAAATTCACAAAGCTCTCTACGGCGCAGATTATTCTATATTTAACTTGCTCTATCTAAGTACCTTTAAGCTGCAATAGACTTGACTCTAGATCAGGTCCCACATAAGAGAAAATAGCTTTCAACCGCATGTACCTCACAAATTTTAATGCTCACGATAAGGTATTTTGAAAGTTCATAACTCGGTAAAAATTTTACAGAATGCAATCGTTTTACCTTTTAATTATTTAAAGAAAGCCATTCTTAAATACGTAAAATAATCAGCTTTATAGATTGGAAAATAAGGATTTGGTAGCGCTCGATATTTATAGCTTAATTATATGGGTCACAGAAGACAAACTGAGCAGTCTGGGGGTGACCTTTAAAATTGTCTCGTAAAAAAAAAAATAAAATTGATCAAAACAAATGTGATATTTGTACATGGAATAGAATTGTTGACTTTCAGTGAAAAACTTAGGGAAATCGGTGCAGGACCGAAATTTGCCTTATACGTACTTACGCTGACTGCCTCTTAAATTTGATTGGTAAAAAATCTGCTTCTATACCAAGGCGAGCTTTATAAACGTTGAGAAAATCATTGAAATTGTAGAAAGCAATAAACTTGTATCGGCTCATTTTTTTTTACCGTAACTTTGGTAGAATTTGACTGTTGATCTGCAAACGATGAATGTATGGCCGCTATCACACTTCTCTATGCCTCGTTTTTATGCATTCGAAAATGTTCCTCTACGTTCCTATATTTTCTTACATGTTACTAACAACTCTTCTGCCTTTCTGGCACCCACTGTTCTTCTCAAAAGTTTTTTATTACAATGTCTTGCATATTTTCTTTCGAGCTTTTCTGAAAGGATATCTCCCATTAGAAGGGGGTGAGACCTCGATAGAAAAATCATAACCAATATTTCCTGGTGGAATTGTTAGAAAAAACAAACACTGTTTTGACGAACAATTTTACGACGGTCAGGGAAAGCATGGACACCAAAGGTAGGATTCAGAAATTCCACCTACAATTTGCAAAGAAACCGTTTCAGTTATAGATTGAAATGAAGGCATTGAAAATGCGGAGGGATAGAATCAGGATTCGATGATGGAGATACATATTTTATCAAATAGTTTACAATGGTGAAAAAGTCGTTTATTGTGGAGCTTATCCCTCTTGAAATTTTTATGGACTACTCAGATTATGGGTGCGGATAGTCATTCAAGGCAACAGCTGCTTACGAATGACTGAAAAACTATCGAAAAAAAGATATTAATCTACAATAAAACTGATTCCTGTAGCGCAGGAAATTATAATATCTTGTGTGGTGTTAATAAGAGGTGATGACTTAACTTGGAGTGTCAGTGATTCATGATAAAAATGCTAGAGAATAGATTGGAAAAGAATTAATCCGGTGTTGCACGAGTTTGCTTTACTGTGCTTTGTCGTTTTATTGTCTATCAGATTCAAGCCTTTAAGTGATTGCGACTTGCATGTTAACATGCATGTTTAATCATATTAACCTGCCTTCAGGTTGTTTTTTTTTTTTCCGCTTTTTTTTCACTCTAAATTCACATTGGCTCACTGCGATATTTCTCTTTGTGCTGGTAAGTCTGAAATTAAAGTTGTTTTTAGCTTTGATTAACTCAATCCAAAGACAGCTACACGTGTTATAAAAATCAAATATGTAGTCGTGAAGCTATCCTCAAACGTAAAACAAGACTTATAAGCATGTGGGTCTCTGAGTAAAATCCCTTTGGAAATCTTTGTTGCAGCTACATGTACACATGTTCTAAAATAAAATCTTAAGTGCTTGCGTTACCGTTTGTGCCTCTTGGAGTATGTCGCCTTATTTTTCAAGTTTGTCATTTACAACCTGTGTAAATCTTCCCTATCCCGACCATGAACCATTTAGTGGTTCATTCTTAGTAAGTTGTTCTACATCAGCGAGTCATTTTAGAATCTTTAAAGCTAAGAAAAAAATTCAAACTGTTGTGAAATAGAAAGGAACTGCAAATACTAAACAAGAACTTTAAAGAGGTCTCAGCAGAGACTTGAACTGTCCTGCCCTTTTTACATCTTCATCGTTCTATCCTTCCTTCAGTTTCGATTTCTGAGCAAGGACTTCCAACATCTCTGATTGTTTCCTTAACATGTTGCTGATCTCATTAATTCTGAAAATAGAGAAAAAAAATGAAATATAAATGTAGAAACCAAATGTACGGGAATAATATTATTTAAAAAATCTTACTTACTGTGAACATCATTAGACAAATAGATATTTTAGAATCATGCTGGATAAAGTCTGGCAGCGATGTTTTAAAAGCAGTAAGTTTATTGTTGTTGTTTATTTTCCTCTCCTTTTTTTTTCTTTGAAAATTGAATTCCTTTTCCGCTTCATACTATCGAAACTCAAGCCTGCGAAACTGTTCTGACATCTTGGAAAATTACTTAATGGGAAACTGAGACAATTTTCGAGTGAGCTGATATGTTCATTCAGACTTTTTCTCTGAAGCTTCGAGCGGATTAAAAACAAGACAAAAAAAAAAGACAACTCACTTTGTTTCCTGTTCCTCTACTTTTGTTTTTATGTCAATTATTTCACGAGGGACATCATGTTCGTCTTTTTCGTTCTCATCACCTCCCGGATGACCAAAACCACATATGGCATCGTATAACTGAAATGATAGGTTGGGGTAATACTTTGCAGCATAAAACTTTGCAATAAAATGACATATTTGCTGGGATGAAAAAAAAAAAACGAGAAAAGTATGAGTCTCTTTGTTGGAAGAAAAATATGCACTTGCATCAGTTTTGAGATTATGGACAGATAAGTGTTGTCATAAAGATAATCAAAACCATTAAAAATTCCTGAAATGTGATTGGTGCATCAGCTGCGTTAGTTTTTCACTAACTATTCTGTACGGTTGTAATCGGACAGCTGGCTGCAATCAGACACCTGTAATCGGATAGTTGAAGCAGCCAATCATACTTAGTCCACTTAGCTAAATCCACCAATCACAAAATTGATCGCAATAACCATAGCAACAGCCATTTATACTGAAAAAAACTGATGGGGAATTTTTCAAAATAGAGGAATTTTTTATTTAAGACACTGTCTTTACCGCAGATGTTTATCCTAAATTTATTTCTTTTTCTCAGAAATCGTAACGGTTATGATTAATTGGTAATAGGACTTCGTGTCGTCCAATTCTGTCGGTAATCATACTCATGGTTGACAAATAAGACTCCCGCTTCGCGTTCGTCCGATTTTTGTTAAGCGACTCTAATCGGTCCTATTACCATCATTTATCAACACAAGAATTTGAGAAAAAATTAATACCCTTGTTTTCAACGGAAGTTTTTTGTTGGGATATTCGACAAATTTTTCGAATTGAACATATTTGCGTAGACAGCGTGGAAGTTGTTCCTCGGTTTCCAGTAACATCTTTATCTGTTAAAGTAAATAAAGATAAAAATAGTTCAGTGGTTGACTACTATACGACTGTTCAGTTCATTGAGAATATAGTCTGAACTGCAAATGCAAACCTGTCGAGAAACTGGACAGCTCTGTATTTAGTGAGGTCAAACTACAGATAAGAAAGCAGCAACAATTATCCTTTCTTCATGGGGACTCATTTTTCTATGTCCCATTCTCGTGACGAGACGAAAAATATATTACAGTGCAAGTAATTCGGGTTTTATTAAGATTTATTATTTGCAGAACTATTAAGTGTCAAAAACTTGACATTTCAAAGGAGATTGATTTAAAAAGTTTTGATATAAACACTTGCCTGCATAACGTATCTGTCCATTGTGGCATTTTTCTGGATGTTGTCAATGTCCCCAACAGCAAGACCTACCTGTGAAAGAGGTAAAGATTTCGTCAAATTGAAATCGAAACATTTTGTAAATAATGAACTATATGATTTTGGTCGTAGAGAGGTTAATATATAGACATTACTTAGCGTAACTGGAAATGCTTTTATTACTTGATTCCACCGCCCAATTTTCATTGTTCACTGAATTAGACCTAAGGGTAGTAGGTAATAATTCCTTCATACTGCGATCTCTATCGTAGTATGATAAGTACAGGAGAGAGGACACAAAGTAAAATGGCAGGAAAAAAATGTCCCCTACATGTAGATGTTCATCCCACATCCCGTGTAGAACGTATCAATGGCTATTTGGGGTATTCTATCGAAAAAGCACCCCTGGTACCGCGGTGAGGGTACGAGTTAATCAGAGATATGAGCTTTTATTAAAAAAGGAGGGAACTGTTTGCTTTACTGTTAGGCTAAATTGCTTCATTTCGCAGTTGACAGAATAATACATAAATATAGAAAAACGGTTCTTACCAGCATATTCATGAGAATGATAGGCATTGCAAGGACGAAAAGGACAAAGAGGGTATTGATCAGGGTGGCGAAAGGGTACTCCCAGGGCATGAAGTTATCAGCGTAATTCAACTCTCCCAGAGTCATCACAAAAATAGTCAGAATCCACTTCGGCAGTGAAGTTGCTGATTCCTGAGAGAAAAAGGGAATGAGCGTAATAATAAATATAATGAACAAACATTCTGTCATAATATACTCAAATAATGTAACTTGGTTCAATTTGTAGAGCTCCGAAGTGCTAAAGACTCAAGGAGCTTTGTTTGTATCCCCATATCCCAACTGCTGATTACGTCGCTTGGATTTCTAAGCCCTTAGGCATTTAAGCCTCGAGCCACTCAGTGCCTCCTAACCTGTTGCTTTAGAGTCATGAAGCCTTTACGCACTACCAGGAATGGTGAATTCATCTCGTTGTATTAAGTCAGCCTTAAGATTCAGGAAGTAACTTTTAAGCTCTCTATCACATTAAAGGTTTAACAGTAGCGCTACGCCCAATGTATTCAATAGCAGAGACTTCTAAGGAATTGATAGAGAAAGGCTAATGTTTCAACTCACGTTTTCGTCAGTCAGCATGTAGAAAGTTGTACCGAATGCCAAGATGAACAAAAGAAACAGCACTAACACCTGTTTGAAATACAAAGTACTTTTATTTTTATAAAAAGAATCACTTAGATCGTAACAAAGGAAAATGCATCTGAATAACGGAATTAATTATTCCACTGCTACGCCACTTTAGGACATCGGAACGCGCGAAAAAGGCTCATTACTCGCATTTTGCCTCGCCCCTACTGGGCTCGGTAACAACGACGCTAATCGCAAAATTTCCCTGCATATTTAATAAATAAACGCCTCTAGGCGTCTGGTAATGTGCGCGGCTGAGATATTGTCCAAGAAATAAAAATTTGGCCAAAAAGTGAAGGTCGAAGGGAAAATGTAAAATTTTGTGGACATTTTCTTAGCTAAGGATATCATCAATCAACATGCCAGCAAGCCAGACAGGGCTTTATTTATTTTATTACCCTTCCATTAATTTTCATAGCGCGCGTTGACGGCAAATTTTGTTGCTTTTCTTGCACTTTTAAAGGCACTATTTGAGATCAGCTTTTTTAAGGTTACAATCACTGGACTCTAGAAGATGAGTTTTTTTCAAGTCAACAAATTAACAAAAGTGAAAAAGTGAAACTTTTGAGCTGGCTTTTTTCCGCTGGCTTAGTTTCTTTTGAACAGATATAAACGGGGGATAAACATTGACGTATTCGGGGGTTATCACGAGATGACTGTCCTGTAGGTTTGCAACACGTGATGTAACATAGCTAATGGAATCGCGGGAAAATTAATGGGCAGGATATAACGTGTAATTTGCGCCACGTGATGTAAAGTCGCCGATAGATTCGTGCAAAAATTAATGACTGGGTTATATAATATGTTAAACTGTTCAATAAGGAACACGTATTGTATAAAAGAATGAAGAAAACTATTTAGCTGTTCGAATAAAATATAACAATGACTCACCTTAAACAACGTGATAAACATCGTGGCCAACATGATGACGTATGATCCCAAAAAGGAAAGTCTGAATATAAAATGCATATACGTGACAGTCGACTCCTATACATATGAAATATTATGTAACTACGCAAACAAATTAAAAAAAATTAAACGCAAACTGCATAAATTTTCTAACGTGGCCTCACAAACCGGAAAAAGATCTTAAGCAGCAGTGGAAATAAGGCCTGAAAGAAGTTCAAGCCTGTACGGGATTTGAACCCATGACCTCTTCGATACCGGTGCAGTGCTCAACCAACTAAGCTAACAAGCTTACTGGGAGCTGGTCATTATGTTGGTTTCAGTAAACTCGTGAAGTGATATTTTATTAACACTGTTCGTATTAATTGGAATTATATTTTACTTACTTTCGTAAATAGAGGATCAGATTCATCCAACCGAAGAACAAAGAAAGGGCTCCAATTTGGATTTGGAAGCCAGACTTGCAGTCGTTGGGGGGGAAAATGTACAACATTGTAATGATGTATCCAGTAAGCACAATATAGTTTGAGCCGGATACCAAGTAGTTTGCACGCTGAAATAAAAGAACAAATTCATAATAGTCAACCTGCAAAACTTATAAAAGGAACAAATCCAGAAATTTAACACCGTTAGCATATCGACCATCATCAGAAAAGATACTAACTCCACAGGAATAGCATAGATTATCAAAATCCTGAACAAAATTAAAGTTTGGCCCAAAAGTTTACATGAAAGTCTGGTTGTTTTAACAAAGAGAAAGTTTTGAAACATCTCAAGTATAGCTTATTTGCTCTAATATAATATTTCATATGTATCAGAGTTACACAATGAGTATTTGATTTATTTCAATGAGTTCATTTTGGTTTCTTTTTGCTATATAATAATGAATTTTCTCATTCTTTTGACCTCCTTACCTTTTTGAGTAATTGAAAAACTTCACTCGCTAAATGGACAAGCGTGAGTACAAGAACGACGTAAGTAAGCACTTGAATGAACTGGAGTAAGAGAACAAGAGCACGGAAAATTATTTGAATGAATATTCTAAGCGACACAAGAAAGAAAAAAGGATTTTGCAGCAAATGAACTGAACCTCTATGGGAGTTCAAATTGTTTGGAATATATGAGGATCTTCTCCTTTACTATTATAATCATAGTATAGTTCGAAATAAGCCGGATCTGTTTTATATTTTGCTGAAAAAGATTGCAGACAATTTCTTCACTTCTGCAAGGCGTGCTTAAATTCCTCCACGAGTTGTAGTTTCACACGTTTGGGTTCGACGCAATATTTGTAAAAAGATATACTGCCTGAAATCAAGTCGTTAATAACCGTGGAATTATAAAAATTATTGCGCTGACTTACCATATCGGAGCGAGTGGTGGGCATGTCCTCAAGATAATCCTTTAAGATTAAGCGGAAAAAATACGACAGTTTGTTGATTGCTTCTTTATTCAAAAATAGTTTCTAGGAATAAAATAACTTTCAGGATCATGTCTAGTATTTCGTTCAACCTCCGTCTGTTGGTTGTCTAATAGCTAGATAGACTCTGCCATGGAATGGGTGAAAAGGGACGCTTAATGTCTTCCTCATCAACGGTATTGGTTAGAAACAAACGAAAAACCAAAAAGCATTTCTTTTAGATCTTTGACTAATCGATGGAGGAGAGGGGAAATGCCCCCTAGTGAAATCTACACCCTATTACTGTAAACATTAAAATACGTAATTATTAAAAAAATTCAAAATGGATCCCAGGTTTATTTATTAAGCTCTGATTATAGTTATTCATGATGAAGAGATCGAAGACACGTCACAACTACAGGTCGTCAATTTTAACTACGTCTAGACTCACAACTTGCTAAGTACATCAAGTCGGAGCTCGTTGGAAAATTCTTTGCTCAAGAAAGATAATGATTTACAAACAAAGTTTCCCTTTTTGACTGCCTTGTTCTTGCTTTTTCTTCCTATTAAAAAAATTTGGTTCGTACCATCAAGGTACTCTGTGAGTAGGATGAAGTGACACTTCTTTTGCGAATTTTTTGGCATGTAAGCATCAAGTGAATCTGATTTACGTCCAAACTTGTGGAACGTGTGACTATCACTATTAATGGTTGAAATTTTCCATTGTGAACTGATGACGAGTACTTCTTTAAATATCTGCTGGTAATAACAATGTTGTTTATATTCATTGAACAAATTTTGGGGTCAGCATGACTTTCCCTTTTTTGAATAACACTTACCCTTCTCATGTCTGTGTCGTTTGGCGCACAGATCTTCTTTTCGTTGTCTCGAGAGTACATAGCCAAGGCAGTCAGCGATAGTAGGTACGTGAGATAGAGAAATAGGCTGAAAATGAGGGATGTGAAACCGAACTTCTTCCTAAAAATAAGATTACAGCATTAAAAGTTTATATATTCGTTTATAAAACAAATTTTTTGTCCTTGGGGTTATTTCCTTAGGGCAAGCTGCTTTTTTTGTTTTTATGAAACCTCTAAAAGAAAAACCTATTACTTCTTAACACGTCTTTAAGCATATTTGGTTCCGAAACAGAAAGACGGGGCGATATATGTATGGAATGTGTTTGTGAAGTGGCTCATGTTTTGTCGTCACAGCCTTATCGTGCTTGTTGCCATACATTCACTAGAACACTGAGCTTCTGTTGTTAAATGTGACAGTATGTGTCGGTAGTTGATACAATTTCGTTAGTTAAGTATTGAGCAAAGCTTGGTCCAATCTTACTGTAACTCAAGACCTACCACTTTAAATGCACGAGATTGAAGACGACTTTGTGAGTAAGGCACTTATCACGGCGATATTTTACCATAGTCTAACATAAAAGAAAAGACAGAACACTGTTATTATTGTAAAATTCAGCCAGTATCGTTTCGAATTTCAGGGCTTCCCACGTAGGCTAGTGGAGGGTCTTTCAAGAGGCCTCTGAACCTTTTAACACCGCCCTGTCTCCAAGTACAAGAATCGCGTAAAGCAGCTGACTTTCGGTCATTAAATCTAACCTTTAGTCCCCTCTTTTTGAGCGAATCATTTCCTTTGCCAGAATTTTTAATAAATCGAAACAAATAATCATTCAGAGCTCGTCAAAAGAAACGGATGTGAAACTATTCGAAGATGTAGCTGATGTATTTGCAAAGGCCGCTCTTAAACTATTGTTATTTTAAGACCCTCCCACCTCTCGTCCTTTCGAACGGCATTCCCGCGCTTTAATTGTTGAAGTTTGGACCGAGGGAAAGACAAAAATCCTAACTGGGTATTCTTCAGTCATGCCGAAATGTTGATTGTCTTCGGTGAAACAAAAAATTGGAAAGGAATGATTTATTTAAGTGACGAGGCGGTAGCGAGGGAGCAGGGAAGTAAATTCCTAACAAAGGACTGCTAGATCGACGTGAAGAAAGAAACTGTGATTACCTTCAGCACAGTCAGCTGGTCCTTCTCAGGATTTGGGACGTACTTTGGTTGAATTATTGTTAAATCTCTCCTGATCTTTAAGAAAAAGAAGTCGCATCAACAAAAAACATTACTGCAAGTATAGATACTTTCCGGGCAGTTAACGATGATAATGTGCTGCTTCAAGAGGGAAATGTTGGTTCTTGCAGTAAATAAGCATTCAAACTGCACCTTATGCATATCGTGAGGTGATTTTACTGTCAAAGGTCACCAACTGCAATACATCCAATGACCTTATTAACAATCACATAGATAAGAGAATCCTAAACGGACAACTCATTAGAATAAGGAACCAAGGCAGGTAGTGAGGTTGGGGCCTCGGGAGAGGTTGCACCTTGGAAATTATTTTAGATACACTAAGAGCCAGTTTTTTACTTACTCTAAAATGAGGTTTCAATTGGTCACCTTCCTCCGTTACGCACTGATCCAAAATAGCCTGTCGATTTCAAAAAATATCATAATGTTAACGAAACTTGCGAGTGCCACAAAAGTAAAACTGAGAACATTATTGGGTAAAAGTTGATATAATTTTTTTTAAGCGCCGGTCATATCTCGTACCATGCAGATAAGACAACGGACCTAAAGTCATTAGTACTTATTAAAACAGTGACGTAATATCAAATCGAGCTCTTGTTCTTACCTCCGCAACTTCTGGCATCTTGATAACCAGATCTTGCATCATGAGCAAGGAGCCTGGCGCTGATGAATTCAGAATCTCCCTCCATCTTTTGAAATAGAAGAAAATGGTCTTTCACGACTGTTTCAGAAGTCCTAGTTTGTATTTTTTTAATGAGTAATTGATAAATTAATGAAGGCATCGAGAACGTTACAAATGTTCACAGGAACGCCTGTTGCGTTTGTCCCTTTCACGGAATTAACAACTGCACTAGTTTTCAAGGTCAGGTGTCCTAAAATCACATGCTAGGAATTAGTTGCACATCATTACCGATCATGCTCTGCAATCGCAATGGCAACGTTCTTTTTATCCTCCTTAAGCGCTATGTCCAGTACATTCTGATTATAGGCGTTCATCAGAATTTCTTGATCTTTAAGTGACAATAAATACACAACAATCTCAGCGTGACCTTCAAATGAGGCCAGGTTTAAAGCTGTATTCTGTCGAAGAAAGAGGAGAGTTTTGGGTTAATTTCTTTCTTTTAACTCTTAAAACCATTTGCAGTAAACATGTTGGAAACGCATCATTTTTTTTTGTAGCTTTCGAACTTGTCCTCAAAAGTAAAAACACAATTTATGCTCCTGTTGAGGAAATGATAATCTGGAAAACGAACGGGCTTGAAATCACTGAATATTTCCAAAGACTGACTGAAAACTAACAACCAAGTTTCGAGGCCACACTGAAGGGAGTAAACATAGTGTGTTACTCATTCCTCTGAAAAAAGGCCAGAATTACTTTTTTCCAATTTTCCCACATGCACTTTAAATACAGTTGACAAAAAAATATCGATAAAAATCCCACCATAGAAACGTCAAAAAAAAACAACAACTTTTTGGAGGGAAACGATTGGATTAATGTATCATTTGAAATTAATGAAAATTGACTTGGCTGACCTTATTTTCGTCCACATTGTTCAGGCACTCCGGATGTGTTTCCAAGATGGACACAATGCACCTCTTTGAACCCCGGGAGGCTGCTAGATGCAAGGCTGTCTTTTGATTTTGGTCCCTATATGGAGTGAGCAAAGTAACTGACATTAGTCCCCAACCCCGGCCAGAAAAGCGGTGGCTTTGAACAGTTTCTCTCAGGTTCGAAGAGATTTTGCATCATAAGCTGTTCATTACATGCACTTTGAAACTGCTTTACTTCATGAAGGTGGTGTGGTGTAGTGCGCTGAACTTGTGATCTGTATGTCAAGGGCTCAACTCCATTCTGCTGGTCCCAGGATTTGTTCTTAGTTGCCCCGAGTTCTCTTTACATAGCCACCAAGTAACCTCCGACCATTTGGAACTTTTCACCTTTATTTTATAGTACTGTGTGTTTTCATACTCGGTTAGTCTCGGTGAAAGTACTCGGTCATAAACTGTTGTATGACATCTTGTATGACAATTTTTTTCAATGAACTTTATGAAACTTAGGGCTTAGCATCGTCTCGTTTCGGCAATCGACTTAACAAAACGTTAGTCCAACAGTTTTCTAAGGACGAGAAGTGGCTAATGAAAACGGTTGGCTAACTTTGAACAATTTTGGGATCACCATTTATTTTGCTATCGAAGTCATCCCTTCGTATGATTGGCTCGCATGCCTTTAAATATGACGACTTTTTCTCTTTGGTTTAAGCTGGATAGAAAGGTAATTCAAAATTTTCTGGTGAACGAATTTGATGACCATTATTTTTTTTCTCCCCTTGGCATATGGAATAAAACTAGTCCAATCCCAATTGATGATGTTACACGAAGTTACTGAGTACAATCGTTACGCTTCAGACTTTTTTAAAATCTAAATGTTGAATTTCCTTATCACTACCATTGTCATAATTTTATCTTTTTTTAATATTGAATTAAAGTAATCATCATTTGACAAGTGGAAAAAAAATTGAACATTTGAATAGTTTTGAATCAAAGCCGGGGGAGAATTCTGCAATTCCATTTTCATTTCTAACATTAGGTATCCAAAGGCCAAGTAACTGATGGGTGAGAAAATCGTTAATAGAACCCGACGTACTTCTCTATGGTTGCTGCTTTAGTCATGAGGTACTCGACCACCAGGTCATTTCCTTCGGAACAAGCAAGATGAAGAGGAGTCATGCCTTTGTTGTTCTGTAAATTTATCATACGAACATTTCGTCCAACCAAGAGACTCTCCACTATTGGCAACCACCCGAATCTGCAACAAGAGAACTTCATCAGTATCTTTCCATAGGTAAAAGATTAGTAAGACCAAGATTGGTGATCATGTCAGCTTTTGAGCGACACAAACGGTGTTTTTTTTTTTGTAGTTTTTTGCTTTATTTTTCTTGTATTCCCTCCTGAAGTAAGTGGGATGGCTTTGTTTCTTTGTTTTTTTTCTTTTTTCTAAAATACTTGCTTGCTCTACATCTTTCTGATTGTAATCTGACAATTCATCTCCGGGATACAAAAGGGATGCTAACTCTTCCAAACTGATGTAATGACTATTTACCCTCCTCAAAAGTTGCAACTACATGATGATTCCTCTGAAGTTGGAGTAGCAGGTTTTTTTTTCGCAATTGATCAAATTAAATTAACCCTGAATGAAAGTCGTCGTCATTTCATGTACATCTTACTTTGCTGCGATATGCAGAGGTGTGTCCAATTCGTTTGACGTCGAACTAGCGGCAGCTTTGTTGGTTTCCATCAGAAGTGAGATGGTCTAAAAGAGATAACGATATGTTAATCTATGAGAAAACAATTCAAATAAAGGGTGGGTTAGTGAAGGGTTGAAGCCTGACATAATTGTAATGCAAAGATCGGTGCAGTTTGTGTGACTGTGATTGGATGAATTGTTACTTCAGGTGAAACAAATATTCTGTGACCTTTTACGTTTCCAATCATAAAGTAACTCATTAGCGTTTGCAGTTCATGCAATTTCAAAATGGCGTTCAACACATTCGAGAAACGTTTGGTAAACTTTCAGTAGGGTTGTTTACTCGGAGCCAGCGAGCACTGGCGTGGGTATCTTCATCGTGGGTGCAATTTTTACCTTGGATTGTCCCTTTGCTGCCGCGTAGTCAGCTGGTGTCAGGCTTTTGTAATCCTTATCTGTGATAAGATACGCAGAGGAAGGCACCTGCATTTGATACAACCAATTATTACGAGTGACAGAATCTTCTAGCATTGTAAGAGGTATCGGGCTCACAGCCTGATTAAATGTTTATGGCGGCCGTAATAAGACAGAACATAGGGATTTGGTTGTTTGTGCTGGAAACAAACACAACAGCAATAACAACAAAAAAAAACAAAAACAAAAAAAGTATTGATGGCAATTTTCCCTGAATAGGTATATTACAATGTTACTGAAAATATTGCAAGAATCTTTGAATCATCTAAATTTTCTTTTTTGACTTTCGTCACACCGCAACTATAGAAAAAGAAAGGACAATAATTCGTAAACGCTATGGTTTATCCAAAAAGGTTTGCAAAGAATTTGAGATAATCATTACAAACCCTCAACAGCAACTCCATGACATTGGGGAAAGGAACAGCGGCATGGATCACTGATCTCAGTTGTATAGTCTTCACAGTGACGTCAGCACCTCGCTTAAGTAGGAAACCCACTGTGTCTACTGCACCCTTGGAAGTTGCTTGGTATAGGGGAGTGCGTCGTGACTTGTCAGGGGGGTCTATTGCGGCGCCCTGTATAGGTAATGTATCTTTTCTTATTCTAACATTTTGAAGTTCATATTTTCTGAGTATGTAAAATCTGTTTTTCTTATTGACTAATTTATATATACATACATATATATATATATATATATATATATATATATATATGTATATAGGAAGTCTGCAAGTCGATTTTCGCGTGGAACAGTGCTCAATACGTTGAAGCAGAGCAGAATAAATATTATGAGAGGAAAAAAGGACGTAACTACATTTCCCGACAAGCCTGTTTCGTGAATCGCTTCACCCCTGAAGAGTGAAGCGATTCACGAAACAGGCTTGTCGGGAAATGTAGTTACGTCCTTTTTTCCTCTCATAATATTTATATATATATATATATATATATATATATATATATATATAGAGAGAGAGAGAGAGAGAGAGAGAGAGAGAGAGAGAGAGAGAGAGATAGAGAGAGAGAGAGAGAGAGATAGAAGAAGAGAAAGATTCCATTCTGTCTGTATGGAGACACTTAAAACGTTTAACAAGACAAGACAAAACAAACAAAAAATGGTGAGTAAGTCATTCGTTCACCTAGTCTTGGTGATGTAAATGAAAAAAGGTGTAAAAATCTAAAAATATGAATTTAGAAACAAAACAAGACAGACAAACGAAAATGAACGTCTAATTGGCTAGTTACCATTCGCAAATAATCAACGTTCTTGCTCAACAAAAGAAAAAGTAGAACATAAGAAACCAACAAATCTTTCCTACCTGATCCAGAAGATATTCAACCACAGACACGTGATTGTTAGTGGCAGCTCTATGGAGAGGTGTCTGTCCCTCGGCGTCGAGCAGCGTTATTCGACAAATTGAAAGGTCATAACTGGCCAAAAGTTTGACAATTTCCATGGAGCCTTGTGCACACGCCAAATGAAAGGCTGTGCTCTTATCAGAGGTCTGGAAAACAATAAAAGAAAAAGTAATATAATGTTATGACTGATATTATTTATGATAATGACTCTTTTACTGAATGACAAAAAATAAAAAAGATCAAGACAAATATTTTGACGTCATGATATGCTCTAAGTCGTAGATTCCATGGTAAAAAACTCTGAGATTACTCAGAGCACTCTCGATACGAGGGTAGCCATGCTTACGTCATATCATACCTTGTACAGACGAAAATCATAACTCACAGGAGAATTAAACACAATGCACTGGATACATGTAACTTTGCAAGCTTTTTTTTTTTAATTTCAAAGTATATGATATGTCAGTAAAAGGAACTCTTAATCAGCTTTATGCAACCAACCTTTGGACATCGCACTCTGGACCCATTTAGTAGACACAGCTCTACAATCTGAGGGGAAAAAAATCAAGGATTTCATCCAAAAGTGACAGTTGACAATAGTAGCAGCAACATACCACCTTCGGTTAAAAACAATTGTAGAGAGCATTTAGGAGAATGATTTCACCCGTCTTTGTAATAAAGTTTACATACCTAGGAAAGAAAATATTCGCACGCATTTTTGTTTGAGATTGTTGACATTTGCAGCTTGTCTCCGACCGCAGCAATCATATGTAAATCGGGATATAGTCATTGTTTTATAGATGTTACTTTCCACCCACCTAGTCGTTAATGATGTCAATGTATTATATCCTTATGCAAGCGAATGTTTGTAATGTAAGTACATTAATTTTTTTGTTTATCGTCCTAACGTTTAAGAAGACGTTTTACGCACAAAATTTACCTTAATATTTCCACCATCAACTGCCATATGTAGAAGGGAAGAGCCATCCAAATCAGCCTTGTAAAGAAATGAATCCAAATCGAACTTTTGGGAGCGGGCTAAAATGAGGACGAAAAAGCTCATGATTAATGTTACCACCAACTAAAATATCGGATTAGACATTGCAACAATGACCGTTAAGGAAGGAATCACTAGAGGGACGATGGTATATAGATGTAGCTTAAATTATACAACAAGTAGCCTTGATGAGATGTCATGTCATTTTTTTTTTCATGATTGACCGATTGATGATAATCAGTCTGATCAGACTCAGACACGTAACCTGAAATGGTGAGCATGTTGCACAGAATGTATCGTTCGGGCACCAGAATTAAGGTCCGGGCTTTTGCCCTGAGAGAAGTCATCATCTTGTATTTTGTAGTGAGACAAAGTTTTCATCTTCACTAAAGTGTGCTGCAAGCCGAAAAATTTTGAGGGGTAACCTTTGATGAACTAGAAATTCATCCAGGGCAAGTAGCATTATTCACAATCGCTTCTTGCTTATGATAAGGAAAATGTTAATTTTGAAGGTATAATTGCTCACTGCCTGTATCAATTAAACTTGCACATGTCTTTCCCAATGCAATTTATGCTTCTTGGCTTACAAAGATAAGTCATATTCACCATAATAAAACAAATAGCTGACGGCGTCTTTGGCTCCTCTCTCCACACCATGACCCAGAGGTGTCATTTGATCGTCATCTCTATTGTTTATCTTAGCTTGATGTTCAATCTAGAAGAGGTCAGTCGATTATTGATGTAAGTTAATTTGCATAATTGATTTTATTTTTTTTGCAAAATACATAGCAATTTCCTTGTTATATGACACATTTTGCGAGGAAAATAGCTTGTTGTTCGAAATAAAGTTTTTTTTTTTAATCTTGAATAGATTTACTTCTGATTGTGAGGATGATCGATTCAGCGTTATGGCATCTGTTAGACTTTGTATCAGTTGATAAAAGTAGCAATTTTCAGCTCTGGTCGTTTCGTTAGGTTTAGAATTAGGTAAGATTTGTACAGCGGTTGGTTTTCAAAGGATGAGAAAGTGTCCATTTTTTAATTTTAATGCTTAAAAATAGTTTTTTTGTACACGTCCGAAAAATAGCTGGAGTAAAACTGAAACACGTAAGAAAAAAAAGAAATCGTTGTTTTTACTGTGTCCAGTAATTTCAAACAGACAAGGTAGCTAAAAAACGCCTCATTTGCGTAATCTGAGTTGATTGTTAATGCGCGCTACTAGCAGATTACAAAAACTTTGCAATAATACTTTTGAGAAAGCTCATTGGTTTGGCATTGGCGTATCTCATTTTTTGTTCAGTAGCTATGGCAATAAGCTCTGCTCACCAGCAGTTTGCAGACTTGGACACGATCCATTCCAGCCGCCAGATGAAGCGGCGTGACATTGCTGCGACCAGTTGCGTTGACGTCACATTCAGGTTCTTGCAACAATCTCTAGAAACACAATAGACGTTATTGTTCAGTTTATCATGCAGCGTGGGATCAAAGTCATTCAATAGCCTTGTTGAAATTGTCGTTTTATTATCTTTCAAATAAACAAACATCTTAAACTGATTTATTACGACTGCGAGAGGTGCCCTTTAAGGAACTGGATCCATAATTTCCTAAAAAACCTGACGAATGTTCTAATAACCGAGCCACGATTGGAGGTTCTTGGGCATGAAAGCTCTGTGACAAGTGATACGTAACATAGAACTATAAAAGGAGACGCCTATCTGGCCTTTTGTTTTCAGTGCGCGACGTACCTTCAATATTTTCTCGTTACCAGCTCTTACAGCTGTGTGAATAGGCGTGTCACCTCTTTCATCCTGGACTCGGACATTTGCACCCTTGCCGAGTAAAATCTCTACGATACGTAGCTGATTGCCTAGTATGGCGTTATGCAGTGGAGTGCGGCCAAACCCATCAGTTATAGACGGTGCTGTAACAGGATCATCACAATATCTTTTATTTTGAAATATATCAACTACTTATCGCGATTTGGAAATTTATGTATTGTTATTTATGGCAATTGGGATCATGTTTCATCAAAAGCTATTTGATAGTCTAAGGATCCCTTGAGTTGACTCTTAAATGGATGAGAGGAACAGTGTGAGGATTAAACCCAGCTGAATTTCCGAGTACCCTGATCAGATAATTCTGAGAAAGGATTTAGGTATTGCAATAAGAATTGTAGCTATGGACGAAGTGTGTAGCCCTTTAGAGCATCCTGAAATATTTTTTCCATTGTGGCTAAAAACTGAAAAAATAATATTTTCCTACCTCTTTAGCAGTCATAGCTATATAAAATAATGATCCTATTATAAATCTTGCACGTAAGGGCGACTGAACTCTCATTCGCAGCTGATGAAACTTCCAATTTGTGAAAACATTCTGGTTAATGGTTATTAACCAAATGCATTCTATTATTGATGAGCCAGCGACAAAAGGATCCAGCGAAAGAGAACTGTCTCCACAGAGAAACTTGTTACATTACCAATGTCGGACATGCACGTGTGAAAACGAGCCACAAAGCAAATTGTATTTCGTTCAGGTGAAATGTACTTAGTTTACAGTGTGCATCAGCAACTTTTGCTTGACTCACCTATTCCTTTTGAAATCAACTCTTCTACGACTTCAACGTCTCCCGATATGGCAGCTTCTTGAAGCTGTGTTTCCCTTGAATCTCTCTAAAAAATAATGTGATGAGATAATATTTGTTTAGTGCAGGAGAAGAATTGGAGGAGAAGTTTGCTCTAAAGCCTATTTACTTTTGGATCAATTTCAGTATCTGAGAAACTGTGCACTAACCCAGCAAAGAAGCTTTTTCGTAAAACAAGCCTTTTGAGTAGGCTGACAATACCCGATGGGGAAGATTGCCCAAATATGAAGCTACAGGCCCGCGAAGTTCGAGGAAAATCTGCTATTTGAGGGTATCATTGGCCGTAATACCAGTTCAGCCATTGGGGGCTTATTGTTTTTGTAATCCTTCTGATCAAGCATGCAGCCTTTTGCTTCTCATATTATCAATATTCTTCTTCGCACGGTAAATAGAATCAGCTAAGGTTCTCTTGAACCACTAGCTACATGGTTATAGGGGCCTCAGCTAAATCAACCTACAGGGTGTATCTTAGTTTAACAACTCGGTATGAAAGGTTACACACAGAAGGCGTTCCTTACATCTTTGGGGACGTCTTTATCAACTTCTTCTTCCTCCACTTTCTCGAGTGAGTTAATACTGAGTGTATAATGTCTGTCTCTTGACAAACGATTCTTTTTCATCTCCATTGCATTTCCTTTTGATGCACTTCTTTTCCTCTTTTTTTGTGGCATCACTTTAAGTGAAAACAATGGGATAGATGATAACTAAAGTTTGCTTTTAAAGGAAATCCACTTTCTAAATCAATGCGCTCTACTCTACGTGAGGAACTAAATTTTTATAATAGTTTGTTGTTCTTGTTTTAAGGCCGGACAACATACATTTGCGAGACGCGTTGTCAAGCAAGTGCTCAATATAATCTAGAAATGCTAATTTTGTATACTAAGCTGCTCCAGCAAAATGATGCAGAGAGATTATGATAAAATGGTTCCCTTTGATTCTCGTGCGACGGTATCTTACTGCGCATACTGCACTGCGTATCTTAAAAACAAAATTGATGCATATCAACCACGTATCACTAGCCTGAATCGGTTTTTTCGGTTCAATAACAGTGATCAATAATCTGGAGATGCTAATTTCTAAATTACTTTACTTTAGTAAAATGATGCAGAGAGATAGAGAGAGAGAGATAGAGAGATGTTCGAGTACTTTGGAGGCCAATTTAGTACTACCATCACGAAAAGACGTAACGTCCGAGTAAAAAGACCGGAGTTTTTTAGAGACGTACATTGCACCGTTCTTGTGTTTGCGAACTTACTTCATTTCGAGTTTAAAATAGGTAACACAGGAACTGGTTCTCAACTCACGGATTTCAAAAGATTGATATGTCACCAGAGAGAAAAAGGATCAAACTGTAAATAAACTGATACCACCTTCGAATACTCACCGACTGGGAGGAAGTCTCTTCCCGGCTTGATTTCAAGGTCTCGAAGAATCAAGTTACTGCACAGTTGTTCTGTGATTTGAGTTGCAAATCCTTCAAACGTTTTGCATATGACCAATTAAGTCACAAGGGAATAAAAACAGCCAGGAAGACAATGGGGTATTGTCTTCCTGGAGAACAAAGACCGTCAACTCTTAAGGAATGAAGCTTTCTTTAAAGGACCGCTCATTTTTTCCGGAGGGACGCATGATTCTTTAAAATGAGTTCGGATAATCAAGGCGACTTTTCACCAGAGATCTGAGCAGCTTCCCAGCTGGTAAAGGCAAGTGCAGGCAACTCAGGAATTCTGGAACTCAAATTAGTCAAATTACTTTTCTTGCGTTCGATTGTTTCTAAAACAGCAAAGAATTAGTGAGCGACACAATCGCCCTTTTCACTGTTATCTGCTGGTTATTTTTAACGATTTCGAAGGTTCGGAAAGAATTTATCAAAATACGGTGATTCGGTATTATCAACCGAGTTGATGACGTTAATTGGCCACCGTACAGAGTTTCTAAGCTGAAGTTGCGAGTGATAACTATTCGTCAGAGCGAAACTAACGAAGAGCTATCGCTCGAAAGCTCAGCTTTGAAACTCTTTACGGTGGCTAATTTACGTCATTAACTCAGTCCATAATACCATCTCAGTGAGTATGAAAGCGATCTTCGCAGTTATGAACACTACTTGAGCAGTAGTGAAAATAGAGAATTTTTTTTTCAGGCCTTATGTTCACTGCTGTTTAAGTAGTGTTCATTACTGCGAAGATCGCTTTCGTATTCACTTCTTTATCCGCAGTTCACATATGTGATTTTCATATTTTTACATTTATTTAATGATAAATCACCTCGTTATACTCTCCCACCGACGCAGCACCATAGTTGCTTTGGAAACTTACCCCCTTTGGTCAAAATATGGTTTTGCCCAAGTAATGATGTACAACCCAATTGCTCTTCATTCTGTTGCACCCCTAAGCGACAGACACGAAGGCAAAATGGACCCTTTTCTCGTTTCTAATCCTTTAAGGTATCTGACAGAATACTGATATAAGTAAATAAGGAAACCATAAAAAAATTTCTCGTAAGTCAAAGTGATAAAAGAACGGAATACTGGTTACTAGAACGGACAAGATCTGAGACGAACGGGACACCGGTTTAAAACCGCTTTTACGATCAAGACAACTTTTCATGTATCCAATGCGCGTCAGATTTAGATGACCTACAAAGGAGATATATACATGTAAATTCACACCCTCAGTTTTCACGGGTACACGTTACTTTCGCCATATATACCAGTTACGTTACAATTACAACTCAAGATAAGTTTCTAAAACGTCAAATATCTAATCGAAGAAGATCGCTTTATCAGAAAGAAACTGATAGTACGACTCGTCGGTGATTTCATTCTCCAAAGACATTGATATACCATTTCCTAATTTTACAAATGTGATAAATGACGGACAAACCAGTAAACTGTCGGTTGTTTACTTAATTGTTCCTACATGTTATAGAAGTGTCCAGCGGCTGCTGCCTAGTTTCAGGGCACTGCAATCAATACATTCTAGTAGAGCCCCAACCTACTTGCGTTATCAATCGCTTTCTTCTGCGGATAGTTATGTGAAGTACACATTTTAGCGTCGCAAAATGAACGCGACCGGAAGAAAAAAAAGATTGAAAATTGCCACAAACGTAGTTACTGATTTGTTTACATCAGCAGAATAAAGTAATCCGCATCAGCTAATGTTTACGGCTCTCTGAGCTGATTTCGAATAATTAAAGACATGCAAAGTGTAGTTTATTTTGATTGTACTATAGCAGGGTACAAAACTGGCACTGAGTTTGGAAAAATAATCTTTCAGGTACTTGAACACGTATAGTTTTTTGTGGAGTAAAAGGAAACTTTTTAAATGAATTTTTCAGTACTGGATCCATTCCATTAACGAACTACCCTATGAAAGCCTTTGAAAAAAAAATGAGATCGAGGGGCAAACTTCAACTAATGACCCAGCATCCAGCGTTTATATAATTAATTTTCGGCATTATTCCTCCGTCATTACGGCTGAAGTCCTTTTTAGTTGATGTGTATTGATGTGATGTTTATTACCGGAACTTTGCCTTTTTCTTAGTATTTTTCAGTAAAGGATCATTCGCTTCAGTCACACCTCAGTTATAAGCTGTGGTAGTCACCATAAATAAGCCAGCCGAACCTGCTGTCCCCAATCTTTTTTTTTTTTTAAGTTGTTCAGTGATCTACATCAGAAAATTTACGCTACTATCTTTTACTGGGAAGACCAAAGTACTATCTTTTTAAGGATTAAAATGGCCAACACAAATTTTCTTGTACGTGACGGAAGACTTTGATAAAAACTAGCACAACATGTAACTCAAAACGATGGCAGAATATTGACCTAAAAGCACCGTTTTTACGAGCCGGAAACGTTGATAAAAAGTAAAATAATGTGACAGAAATGTCAACAAGTGACGGACACAAGGAAACGTATATTTACATAATAAGGAAAAAATACACTTTTTTCTCTCTCTAGAGCGAATTGTTTCTGGATAATTAATACATTTTCTTATTTTATGCAACAAAATATTGCAACGTAGAATCCATTTTGAACAGAAAGCATTAAAAAAGGACTTAACTTGCCTAAAATTGATATAATTCTCTGATGGCGAACGTTTCTTAGTAGGGATTGTTTTATTAATTGCCTTGCACTGTTGTACGAAAATAAAATTTCATGCAGCTGATTCGAGTGTTTTTTTTTAACTTAATTGACACGAAACTGAACATTGAAATGGGTTTCTACGAAATTGTGCAACAGCGTGTGTTTTGGACCGTCTTAATAAAAGAAAATTTTGCCCTTTACATTATAAAAAATTAACTAAATGGGGCCGGGTAAAATTACGAATTGATAATACTTGTGTTTTCCGAAGTTGCAGAAATTGCCCGACTTAAGCAACAATGCATTAAATCAATTCAGTGGTTTTTCATGAATATCATATTTAGTATGACGTACGTAAACACGTCATGAAGTTTACATGAAACACGAATTCGAACCGCAACAGCTTGCAACCGATGGGAGCGAAAAAAGTTCCATATCTGGAGGTGAATACATTCCCATCGTATCATGCAGACAATTTATATGATATGATTCAGTGGATCAAAATATTGCTTCCTTTATTTCAGAAGAGAGGTATATTGTATTAACTTTGAGACGATAGAAAGAAACTGCTGCAAATCAAACACAAAATATGCCACCATAACATGAATAGCGAATGAGGAAAAGCGTGGATGAAATGATGGCGAATTTAACTGAGGATGGAAACTATACGACTACAGACCAATATTTTTTATGCACCTCAGTGGTTAGAACTTCCGAAAAGACATTTATTTTAGCTACAGGTCTCCCTCTTTCCATAATTGCCTTTCTAGGGAATGTTGTGATCATTTGTTCTCTACAGAGGGTGTCTTCCCTTCATCCGCCGTCAAAACTTTTGTTCGGTTGCCTTGCCTTCACAGATTTGGGAGTGGGCCTCATCGTGCATCCTTTGCGCTTTGGACGTTATCTGTCATTAGACCATTCGAAGACGTGCCACTACTTATCACTCGTTTATCTTGTCACGGGTTTCGTGTTTGCTGGTTTATCCTTGTTGACAATTACTGCAATAAGTGTAGACAGACTTTTTGCTCTTTCACTAGGGCTAGGGTACAGACAAGTTGTAACTGTGAAGCGAGTAAGAGCCCTTATTGCCTGTTTTTGGGTTTCAATCGCTCTCCTTGCCACGGTGGTCTTTCAAAGTGTTCGTATTGCTCTTGGCATCGCGTTTGCAGTGTTGTTATCATGCATAATCATTTCAACCTTTTGCTACATCAAAATTTACTATGCACTTCGCCTTCGTTTATCTCCAGCACAAAGACAAGGTCACCAAGGTCAACCGAATGGAGAAGGAATTCAACAAAGCAAAGTGCGGTACAAAGAGACAGTGTCCACAGCAGTGTGGGTTCAAATGACCTTACTGGCTTGTTATCTTCCGTATGGTCTAGTCGGAGCTTCTAAAGCTATCACTGGACTGAATACGCCATCGCTTAGCTTAGCCTTGACTTTATCCACTTCTCTGCTGCTGTCGAACTCGACTATTAATCCATTCTTATATTGTTGGAGGATGAGGGAAATAAAACAAGACGTGAAGGAGAAGATTAGGCGGTTCTGCTGTTTATCCAGTGAAGAAACCTAAAGGTCACCAGTGATTCCACCCATATTTTATACCAGCCACTACAGATATTGTATAATTGAACCGTCTGCTGTGAGGGTAATTTAGTATTATCAACTGAATTGATAGCGTAAATTGGTCACCATAAAGAGTTTCAGAAAACCTTAGAAATCTATCAGGAAAATGAAAGGCTGAAAATTAGTTGCAGGACACTAATAGAAGTGATTGGTCATATCACGTTCAATTTTACGCGAGCTGTCGCATAGTATTACAACTAAGACAAATCTGAATTCACGGTGCATTTTGCAAGTTCGGTCTTAATCCCTTAGAAGGCACATGTTGAGAATGGAATTATTATCTTGTCGATGAGCTTATTTATTAGAAATATATCAGCATGGGGCTAATGCTCGTCAGCGTTAGAAACTCTTTACGGTGGCTATTTTACATCATGAGCTTAGTTGATGAAACCAAGTTATCTTATTATACACCCAATCGACGCACCACCACAGTTTGTTGAGAAACTTACCACCTTTATTAGGTTATTGCTTTGCAAAACGAATTCAATAAAGAATTACAAGTCAAACGCATAGGTCTTTCTCTGATTATGTATAAGGGGCCAGTTAAACCTTCCTGTAATAATGATAAAATTAAACTTGGCTACTGGTGAGGTGAGCCTGTCTCTTGAATTGGGTCAGTCATACACTTTTCGCACTCCATCATGGATAACCGCATATCGCGCGCGCGTTTTGAGAGATCAATAACGTATACGATACTGCAAAATAAATGCAATCCTTTTGGAAGGCTAGAAATCCCAAATCAGATCCAAGTATCTGCAAAGAGTGAACTTTCGTTTTCAAATTACACCGGCAACAATTAGCGCGCTCTGATCAGGGGTATTTTTCCAGACGAGATGTATGGATGGAGTTCCGATATAAAATTCAAGGATCTTTTAATAAACTTATTCATTAATCCAAGATCAAAGTTGATAACCACACGCAAAACCGTGCGGTTGTCATCATTTTTAGTTTCGAGAGTCATCTAATTCCAACTGGAAGAATTTAGAAAACAGTAAGTTTATGAGTGAAAAATGTACATTTCAAAAGAGGCGGTAACATTCTCTACTCTCAAGACAAATGTGAAAAAAAGTCTCAACGCTTTTCCTTGTTTTCACTTGTTGAAAATACTCCCAGATAAAAGGAAAATGGCATCTCCGATTATCTAAACAGAAAAATACATGGTTTGGCTGACTCCTCTGCGGCTCTTACTTCTCTTCAGTAAGTGGTTTACCAAAAATGCACTCTGCTCCTAATTCGTTGAATAAATTGCAATAAATTTCTGTCCGCCGCAGCTTCGTTCGCGATCTCCTTGACACGGTAACATACACTCCTCGTTTCTGACCTTCGATTCACCTTTGAAATAAAGTCCACAGAGGCACTCAGACGCCATTAATAAGCCAGCAAAAGTGAAGCCGTTAGAACCACAGTGCTGCACACAGATGTCTGGAACCATGGCTGGGTGTCCCTCATATCTGTGCTTCAGTTGCTGTAGAGGGTCAGAGTTGTGAAAACAACCTATATATGCTCCGCTTGAGGATCTAAAGGTATCTGAGGAAAAAAAGAGACTTCGAAATTCTAACAGAAATACGAGAACACTTTTTTAACAACTTTTACGAATTCTGCGACAATGTACACCACGCCTGCCGTCTTTGTTCACAAATCTTTGTTAGTGACAATGTTGCAATAATTATTCCGGGAGTACGGAGCAGGGATTTTTAAAAGAGTTTGGGGAAGGTGGGGGAGGATGTTTACAGTAACGTCTCATCTAAGGACCGAATACATGAGAGGGATGACTGCGATTTCCAATTACACATGCAAAATTATTAATTTTCGTCGACAGAGATGACGGTACATTCATGTGATCCTTGGTTCCCCGTTTGATTGAAGACAGAAGGCGCAAGGAAAAAAGACAGAAGTAGGAGAAGAAGGAGAAAAACGTTTTCCCCCTATCACGAACTGATTATTTACCCATCAAGCTTGATTGAGCAATCCCTTTGGATTCCGGAAATTCATCGTCGGTGTCCTGGTCGTCTTCATCACTGAGATCTTTAAAGTTTGATTGGACCTGGTTGAAGGTGAACTGAGGTATGTTTGGTATAAAATGGGCCCCCGTTGGAAACGTCGACGTAGCCTGTGAACTACTCTTCACTGGGGTAGAACCTACAGAAATAGATGGCAAAAGTTCTTCTGTTTGTTTTTATTATGATTATTACATACGTTCTAACGTTCATTCTGTCAATTGTTTTTTTACGTTTTCATTTTATATGACTTCAAGGCGTGTGTCGTCCCATCCTCTGTTATCAATTGCCCGTAGCATCATATCCCGAATTCGATTGTAAGTGAAAAAACCTTTCTTAAACTTCTTCATCTGTAATTTACAGTTCCTAGGGTAACTAGCGCTGCGAGGGACAAAACACACCATGAGTTATCAAAAACCGTTTAATTAAAAGAAATTGTTGTGGAATTGAAATTTCTAGTCGGGGTAGAGGTGTGAGGATGGAGGAGAAGGTTAAAAAAAATCTATGTCGAATTAACAAGAAAATACAATAGATCTCCCTTCTTGCACCACGTACCATAGCAGGTGCCATAGTACACCATCACACTTGAATTACTCAACTGTCATAATGAGAAGCCACTTTTACCGAGATAGAAACATATATGCACCTTATAGTTCAGTGACTGATAGTAACACACCTGGCAAAGGGACAGTGATATCGAGTTGATCATTTCCTGGATCCAGACTAAAAGTGTGAGTGACATTGTGTCCATTGGGAAGATGCAGAAATACTTCATAATCTCCAAGGAAACCACGAAAGTCAAAGTAGGCATCTGATTGGTCAATAGATGTCGCTGATAATGTGGCATGGGTAGTCCACTGTTTCAGGAGACTGCGGTAACGCAAACCAGCGGCATTAATCTGTTTGTTTAAAGAGTTGATATTGAGTTGCTACGATAAAAACGCCAACTCTGTCTAACTGTAGGGCTCTGATCGTGACTGTGTTTTGTCGGGATTTGAGACAACAATTTCTCGAGATAAACTCGGCTTTACCTCGGGTAAACCAGACCATTGCAAATCACTTGCCTTCTGGATACTTCTTTTCATTTAATCAATAAGAATATTTAATCTAAAATACCAAATACATGTTCACCTGCGACATATTTTGTCGTAAACTCTGTTTTAGATGCCTATAGATCTACATTTATACATTTATGAAAAAAATTTAGTATGGGGAATCAACAGTGACTCAAACCTTCCAGTCGTTTCCATCAACAAGTGAAGTATACGGTCCCCTCCATGAACTATAGCCCCAGAAACTCCACAGAATCAAACCTTGAACGCCAGGAGTACTAAATGCAGTGCGCATGACGGTTTCCAGGCTATCTGCTCTTTTCATAGGGTCCTTTTCAAGAACATCGACTTCTGTCAACCATATTGGAATCCTGGCTTCACCTAGCATGTTAAGGCGATACTAAAACACAAGAATGATGAAGAACTCTAAAAATCTTCGAAAAGAAGAAAACCCGGAGAGCGCTTTTTTAACAAAATTGAGCAAAAATACTGCACTGCTTGGCTGAAGCCTGAACCATGCATGTGAAATGTAGAGGTCAAGATGCCAAAACCCCCCGTACGACATAGTTCTTACCCTGGCTTAGCGAGCATTATCTTTTAATTTATCATTAAATGCAATCTATCTATTTTACATGCCTAAGAACCTTGCAAGCCGCTTTAGTCTAATACAACTATTTATCACATAAACTGCGGTGTTATACAAGGATTTCCGGCCCTGAGAAAAGTCGTAACAACACTCGTGAGAAAATATCTTATTTTTTTACGTGTGTTGATATAGCCAATCAGCTGCTTACACGTCACTCGCCTTTGACGCCACTCGGTCAGGTTGATGAATGAACGGCAAAGCCTTCACGATTCTCAATACAAGTTGGTTGTCGGAGCTTTCTCGAATTATTGCGGCTAAAACACTAAAGAAATCCGTATCGCTGACAGACAATGAGGTTCAAACTTTCCTGTAAGGGGAAGAAAACTAATATACTAAAAGGAAAACCGAAAGTTGCGTATTCGGTGGCTTTGGTGTTAGCATTTCTCTCGGCTGAGAATGAAAATTGACAACTGGAAGATTTGCCACCGGCCGATTTTGGCCGTTTACCTGAAAGACTTCTTCTGTCGGTAAGGACAAAGTCAATAAATGACAATTTTGTAACTTGAAAATTACAACCATTGTTGTTTTCGTATTCATGACTCAACGCATTTTTCCATCTTAAGAGTCAGCGCCAACGCACTCTGCGATTGTTATTCGAGGATTGTCGATTCACTTTTATTCATTTATTAATGAAGTCGGCTTTTCTTCCCAGCAAAGGGCTATTGTGTTTATATGATAAACAAAATAATACATGGTTGCTTGTAGATATTGAATTTCTCTCTTCGTGTTCAACTCGACATCTCACTGTTTCGCTGCGCTCACTCGTGAGCTTTCGAGTTAAACTCTCGAAGAGAAATTCCATATCTACGCGCGCCCATGTATTCTCTATATCTTGAGTCTTCTTCAGCTAAAGACATGGATTTTGTTGTCTTTGTATGACAAATTTATCGCCTGGCAGTACGCTCACCTGGAGTAGCGTGGGATTCACGTGACCAGTAAAATGGCCCTGAACTCCAATTCCGTCCAGCGGAATTCCACGTAATAGCAAACCCTTTGCCTCCTCCAAGAAAGCCTGAAATCATGATAAGAGAAGTTTTTTATGCTTATACATCTCTACCATCCATCATGAACTGAGTAAAGGCTCTCAACTCATTCCATTGTATCCGCTTTATTTTATCCAACTGAGACACATTTCTCTTAAACTAAGGTTATTTTATTCCTGATCCTTGTTGCTGGGCTAATTCACTGAGAAGATTATTAAAGAAAACATACTTCCACCCCTCACTTGCTCCAAGGCCGTAAGGGATCGAAACAGTTGGGTACACACCTATTACGACTTGTAAAATTAGATGTTATTACAGACATGAATCTTTTCAAAGCATTATTGAGTATAAAAGAATTGGTTCATGCTTGCGGTGCGTAGATCGAGTTATGGATGCTCGCGGGAAGTTTGGAGAGCACGAAAAAAGCGTAAGAGTTGCTCGAGGCGCGGCGAGAGTACTTACACTGTTGGAAAAGGAAAATTGAAACAGTGACTGGCGATAAAAAAGTTTATTTTTAAGATGTACATGTAACATAATTATGTACGCTTACTTTTGTTTCAACCTATATAAGTCCTATTCACCTGAGTTAGTTGTCCATTTTCTACCACATCAAAATCATTGAGAAATAAATCAACATCCGGGTCTGCCTGGGCTGCTGCTTGGTACATCCAATCACGAATGGTGACACCTTCACGATCCGCAAAAAATGATCCGTGCAGCATTTCGTTATTGACATCCCACTGCATAAAACTAAAAAAGATATTGATGAAAAACGGCAAATGTTAGACATAAATATAGAACATACGTCTCTGGTTTATGTCGCACAACTTTTATTCCTAAATTTATTCGTAGAATTTAATTATTTCGGTCGACAAACTGTTAGGATGGCATTTTCTACTTCGAAACAATCCGAAAAAACTACGACCTTTTGAGTAGTTTACGCAAAACTGAAAATACAATTTTTCCGTTACATTTTTCGCGTTGCAGGTAGCTCAAACGGATCAATATCACATTTCCTTTTTTCGAAAGGGATCCTGGCATTCGCGAAGGTGAGTAAATGGTACTGCTGGCTCCCGTTTCTTTTCTTTCCTACGGAACATTCTAATTAGCAAGTGCAACCCGAATGATACTTACATCACATTTACCATTAATAGCAAAAGATTGCGACAGTAACAGCAACAACAACATTTTTCACGACGATCTCAGCAACAACAAAAAAGGACATTGACTATGATAGCAGCAACAGCAACCACAAGATCCAAGTTCTGTCTTCATACACTCACCGGCCTCTATATCTCTCAAGGAGATTATTCAATCTTTCATGCAGTATTTCCCTCAGTCGGGTATTTGATAAGTTCTTCACCCAAAACGGAACTTGTGTATCAACTGCCCAGAAGACACAATGGCCACGAATCAGTTTGCTGAAAATTGGTTAAGGAGGCAAATTATTAAGGAAATGATAAATTCTAAATAACATTCCCTTGACACAGAGAACTGAGAGTTGATCGTTCGCTCCTCTAGTTACAACTCAAGTTAAACAACAATGTGCGGCTTTGCTCGCAGTAAACTGGTTTACAGGTAGCTGCACCCATAACATTTGTCTTGCTCATCATACTCGGCTTGAAGGGATGTGTGCATAGCCAATTAAGGAAAAACTTCAAGTGCTCGGTTTTCGCGTCAATCATCAAGACCAAAATGCACGTTGTTAATAAAATATTTCACCACTATTTTGTGGCGACCTCAGTTAATCTTCAGATTGCACCAAGGGTGCAGTCCCGCATTTAAGTTTAAGTAACTAAAATAGAGAATAATTCGCAAAAATAGAGAAAGAAAAATAAATTTTTTTTTTCAGTTAATCTCTTACTTGTGTGTTTGTAGGAAATCTACAGCCTCGTCCGAAATTTTGTAGTTGAAAGCGCCCTGAAGTGAAACGTACCTATAATAAGTTCAAAACGCAAATGATGCGTCAGTTAATTAAAATGAACTTTCCCCAAATCACTCATAGATAAGTTAAGAAAAAAACTTGATAATAACGTATTACAACACGTACTCAGGTGATAAAACTAAACTGTCTCGAAATACCCTAACCAACGCAGCACCGCAATTTCTTCTAGGTACTCCTTGGATGGCTTATAGCAAAAAGAAAATTTCCACTTTCTGAGCTTCCCGTTTGCCTTTACTCCAACACTACTGGGTTCTAAAGCTTTCAACTTTAAATCGTACCAACATTAAGAGGTTTTTTATGGGTAATTTTAAGTTATAAGTGACAGATCATTTTTATGAGTTGAGAAAATCCTTCATTTATAGTGCATAGGAACGCATTCGTATGTAGTTAGTTGAAGAACGTTTGAAATGGCTAGATTGACTGAACACCACCATTTAATCTGCAAACATTTATCAATTGCAGTGTATGCTAGAACTGTTAAAGTTTACAAGTTTCTATGTTGTGGTTACTCACCGGACTAGGTTCGACATAGCTCCATTTCAGAGAACTCTCCAATACTGCCCACTGGAAGTTTTTTAGATAAAAATCACGATATTTTGGTTTATGTAAAAGGTACTTGCTGTTAACGGCCGCGCCGAATGCAAAGAGGTGAGATTTTTGTCTTACCTAGGGATTAAGAAACGAGGTGTTATAAGTTTTATTTAATGATTTAATTGATGAAGCATTTTAGATTAGAACCAGCTAATTCCTAAAGAAAGACAATTTCTTCGACTTGTCAAGAGTGCGTGTTGAAGGAATAATTCTGAGCTTCAGACCTCCGCGCTTCGACATTCTACTAATGAGCTTCAAAGAAGTCTATGGAAAGAAAGGCCGTTATTGAACCCATATGTGACAAGAGTCCTGTACACTGTTAGCACAGGGAATGTCAAATGTATAGAGAAAAAAAAAGTGGCAAATTTTGTGTTTGGTAAAGAAATAGGGAGAGACGCTTTTTCGTCATGTCACGAGCGTGGATAACTGAAAAGAAAGCTGAGTCTCCGTGAGATATGGGACTTGAGACCTTTGGATTCATGCCTATGACTTTTATTTTTTTTGATCTTTGATTGCATGGGACAAAAAAAAATGTTCTACTCACTGTCATTTTCAGATTTTGAAGAAAGTCCGCAGAGTATTGTGTGCCTTGGATATTCACTCTAATGAAAAAGAAAAACGGAAACAAAACTCGTTTGCAATTGCCAATAATCTACAAATAAGGTGTGAAGAAATTCTTCAATAAAATGCGTACTTCCACTAAAAATGAAAGGCAAAAAAATTTGTCATTCCAAGGTAAAGAAAATAAAAAATCGTAAAAATCGCAAAAAAATTGTTTGCTTACATGAATATAAAGCTTAGGGTTACTCCTTGTTAGCAACTATCATTTTTCAAGAATGAGAGCTGTTTGTATTGCTAAGGTGATTTTGTGCATTTTTAAAGAAGGGACTCGAGTTGCTTTTCTCTGATAAAATTTCAACAAGAAAGGCTCTTTAGGGTTCTACCTCAGTCTTTGAACTTTCTGACTTCCCATAGAAAAGAAGATTGGAGAAGCAAATGGGTTTTAATCGCTTTCATCATGAAGATGCGGGACACACAACAGATCGAGGTTCCAAATTTAGTGTGCCTATAACAGAGGCACTGTGAGATTAAAGTGTCATGTCTCGGCTAAGTCTCGAACCCGGGCCTCTCGACGTAGTGACCATTAGGCCACTACGCTTCCCAACAGCATTTAAAGAACTGTAATAAATGTCTGCTTCCACGGACCTTAATCTCACGTTTCTTTTTCTGTATTTATCAATGAGAGCATCGCTATTTTCTTTCCAGTCAGGCCTTTGAAGAATTTCACCGAGATACAAATCGTCCAACAAGATGTCAACCGTAGGTTTGGGACCCTTGAAGTAAATGAACATGTACTGGAAGCCTGCCTTAGCCGCTGGCATTTCAAATGCAGTATGCCAAAGGACCCAGCCATAATCTAGGAAAAAGTGAAACATATTTACGGTAATAAATAATGGTAGTAAGACCGAGTGAGGTCCAATTCGGTCTGTAATCAGACAAGTGATTAACAAAATCGCATGACCGCCAAGCAGAAGTCCGATTTATCAATTAAGAGTATGACTACAGACAGAATTGGATGACAAGAAGTCCTGTTACCAATTAATCATAACCACTATAATTTCCGTAAAAACAAATATATTTAGGACAAACAATGTCTGAAGTAAAAACTCCTCCATTTTGGAAATGTCCCAGTTTTTTGTTTTTTTTTAAGCAGGATAAGTGGTTGTCACTATGGTTATTGTGATCAATTCTGTGATTGGTGGATTTAGCTGCGTGGAATTAGTATGGTTGGCTGCTTCAACTGTCCGATTATATGTGCCCGATTACAGCCACCTCTCCGATTACACTGTCTAATAACAACTGTACAGAATGATTAGTGAAAAATAAAGAAGCTAATGTACCAGTCACATTTGAGGAAATTGTAATGGTAGTGAATAACCTGACTAAAGGTCTGTGTTTTGGGATAGGGCAAAACCAACACAAGTTACACTTGGCAACAGCTTTAAAGCTGCGAAGGAGATGGAAAGAGTCAACTGAGGAAAATGGTGGGATAGTTCCGAAGTTGGTAAAATGGTGTTTCTTTCATGTGTAACATCTACTAACCTGGGGAATATTTTGTCCTCCTAGCAAGACGCTTGCTCTTCTGTTTCTTGTCTCCCCTTTTCTTAAAGCGTATCCATAACTCAAGGCTATGAACATCCCCAGTCTTTTCACGGTCCAGAAGTTTCGTCCATCCCATAAATTTGTAGATGCGTCCTGGCAAAACTCTGCTACCTGAGTAAGTTATAAAAAGGATTTTATCTGTAGCAAGGTAGTTTGCTTCAACAAATAGAGAATACCTTTTAAAAAAATCCGCACTCTTTACTAATTATAAAACCAGAGGAAGATATTAATCCTCTTTGGGAGTTCTCTTGACGGCTGGTTGCTTTACGCCCTGTTCCACATAATTTTACCCCACTAAATCACATACTTTGATCGCCAAAATAAAATAAGAATTTAGGAAGTTTGTCACCACGAACCTAGTTGAAGGGCTCGTTAAATATTTGCCATCTTCATTTACTTTATTTATCTTATTGGTCAACTTTGCCTTGTGCAGAACTTCACGAATATTTTGCCTTTTGCTTTAAATACACAATTTCAAATAAAGTGTAGCAAAACTAAACAACGACGTTTTTGTGGTGTAGGAGCTCTTACCTACATACTGACCAGGTCCCGCCCATTCAGAGAGACGTGCAAGACATATACCGCTGTGTTTTCCTTCTTTGGGTCTCTGCCGACTGTATCGGGCAATGAAACCTCCACGAGGATCATCTGTCTCGCCTTGGCAGCTCCATCCCTTTATCGGATCATTTACCAGTGGCTGTTCAAATCCTGGGTTGGTCAGAATGTTGATGCCACTAGTTGGTGGTCGGTATGCTGAAAATGGGACAACACAGGATTATTTGATCATAATTGCACCTGAAAAAGTAATGAAGAAGAGAAAGAAACAGCAAAAAAAAAAAACGAAACCAAACTAACAAAATCAACGGCAACATCACACAAAACGCCTACGAGGCGTACATCAATGCAAGTTGAGTTCTGAATGATTGAATAAAGGGGGTAAGTTTCTAGAGAAATTGCGGTGCTGCGTTGGTTGGGGTATTTCGAGACAGTTTAGTTTTATCAACTGAGTACATATTGTAACTTGGCCATCGTAACGAGTTTGTAAGGTTAACGTTTCAAGCGTTAGCCCTTCCGCTCGAAACGTCACTTTTAGAAACTGGTGGCCAATTTGCGTTATCAACCCAGTTGATAAATCTCAATTTACTTAAGGCAAATTGGTCTACAAATGTGGAGAACACACAGTCCAGAACTCTACGACGTTAGAGTTCAAAGCTAACTCAAAAAGTGTACATTTAAATTTTAACTCGAGTCCCAATTTAAGTTGATGGGACACTCTCCTACCTCTAAAGTCACTTTCGTCAATCTCCCTGAATAGAGGCTGTAACATAAGTGGTTTTACTCGACCATTCTTAACCAATGGGTGTCGTGCAGCATTTACAGGAATGACCGTGTTTTGATCCAAGGCATTGTTTAACGCGGCCATCACATTATTTGAGACATGATCTCCGTAAGCAGAATTATACAAATCACTGATGAAATTTCTCTTCTCTTGGTCCTCTTCATAAAAGAGACGCTTGCTTCCGGTGGTACCTTTATTAAGAGGGCATTAAAGTATAGAGAACACCAATCAGTGTAAGAGGGCCACATCTTAAGAAATGAAACCAGAGTCATCTGGAAAAATGTAGAGCGGAGCTTCATTGGAAAAAAACTCACGGATGGTTCACTGACAAATGGGCCTTCAACAACACAGACAATAAAGACAGTTTAGAAAGTTTCGTAAATTTCCTTTAACAAGCATGGCGCAATTCTTCAAGTCATTGTTGTTCGGTAACTACGTTACGGCATTTTCCTTCGTATTCCTCGTGTTCTTGCCTATGTCAAAATAGACGGTGGTAGGTGTGGGTACATTATATTCTCTTTTAGGTTTCCCTTCCTCTAAAAAAATCACAGAATTTAGTGACCGAACTATTGGAGAAGAAGGACAAACTAAGTCAAAGGGAGGCAAAGTTTATAAGCTGATCTATCCTTCATAGTATTAAACCATGTTCAACTGCGCTCTTTCTGCCTTCCTACGACCAAACATGTCCGTGAGGCAACTTATAAACTGGGTTAAATAGTCAACATTCGTGTTTCCTGAAGTAGGCTGTCAAACCATTTCACAGGTCACAGGGATTTCGTCTTACCATCCAAGCTGTAAACATCCATTGCGCTGAGTCCCCCTGTGCCATTGTGGCATTTAGTGGAGGGACCATACCGCATGTAGGTGAGTGCTCCATGAACGCTGCCTACACATGCTGAGTTGTTTACGACTCCAAACACTGGAAACCCGTGAGAGTAAGCAGCTTTAGAACACTGACGCAGTAGTGAAATGTGTGACTGTCGTTCTGGCAGGTTCAATCTTATTTGTGGAAGAGAGTTGTCGTCTTTCCAGCAGCCTAGGTAATCATAAACTAGGACAGTGGAAAAGGAAAGTTAATGAACTACCATTGATGTATCATGTCAATAAACTATTGGCCTGTTAGCAGACAAAGGATAATTGGAGGCGTAAAAATTATTCTGTACTGTAGTGTTGAAGGATCCGTAATCTGTAGTCAGCCAATGGGCATAACAGAAACTTGATGCCCAACTTCGCCGCCTCATGTAGCCAACTAGAACGAGCGTTTATCACAAGATACACGTAATAACCATTGGTAATAACTGAAAATTAAGTTGGTTTACCTTTCTGTGCCGCCAGAAGTATGCAGGACTGCAACAGCAGAAATATCAAGGTAGGTTTCATCGAGTTTTCATAATCGTTGGCCTTGGTAGAATGGGCAGTTTTTTCTAATAACGCTTTAAACCTAAGAAAAAAATGGCAAAACGAGAAAAAAAAGGAAACATCCCACAATTAGTTTATAATCAGTACAAGTGTTAAAAATAAATGCGTTATTTTCCCGCGACTATAACAATTTGGATCAGAAATAAGAGAAAGTTTAGGCTAGCTCGTCGAATGAATTAACATATTTTACTGGGCTCGTTTCTAAAGGAATAGTATCTTTCTTTACTCCAGCAGCGCGCTAAAAATTTGCCAGTTTTCTTTTCCATTTACACACACGGTGTTCTTCGACATTGCTGATCCTAGCACTGATCCTAGCCCTGATCCTAGCACTGATCCTAGCCCTGATCCCAGCAGAATGCAGGGCTCTTGTCACACATCAACTTAGCATATAACATGGCTCATTATCGACGTTGTCTGTTGCTCAGTGGAAGAGCGTTGGTGCTCAAAATGTGACGGTCTGAGATGCAATATCTCTTTTGAGACTTGGGTTTTTCTCTGTTCCATGCTTGTGGTGCGGCAAATAAAAATTTCTTACACGTTGCTTATAAGGTGCTCATGAAAACGACTCAATATTTCAGTGAAGTGTTTTGCTTTGCTGGACTTGCAGTGACATATGCTGCCGCTTTACCATATAAGAGTCTGTATTTCTATGGCAATTTTCAAAAGGAAAATCTCAAAAACGAAAATACTGCTTGTCATCGTTGAAAAAAAAAAGTAATTAACATATGTCACTCGGGCCCTCTATCATTCATCTAAGATTCAAAGGATTCAAAGTAATTCGTTTACCCGAAGTTAGTCTACTTAAGAATTTGAAGGTTTGAAGCACTTACCTTATGTGTTGCGATAACTGGTTGTGATATTACTTGCTGGAAATCCACAAGATAGTCACTCTGAAGTCACACCTGTTGCATTATGAAGGTTTAACAGGAAACTTGAAGACACACCACCAGCTACTTTCTCCCCTCAGTGTTCACGGTAAGATTTGATAGGAATGAATATTTAGGGAAACTCTTAGGTGAATATTTTGATCACTGATACGATGGGAGGTAATTTTGTTATCGAGAAATAAAAATCACCGTAAGATTCACAATCAAATGTTTGTCAGTAGACGATCAAATATTAAAATGAAAACCATAACGTTTGCGCTCATGTAATGTCGAATCACCTCTAAGGCGCCCTATCGTAAAGGCGCCATTCGAAGTTCTTCTTCCGTCTGCGCAATTTTGGTCGCTAAATTCTAGTCTTTGGCATATTCGAAAACTAAAATGATCACCGCAAACAAAAAATTCAATCTGCGTTGACATGTACAGGTGGCCGTCTTGTATAAAATCACAAAATCAAATAACAACCTGCAGGACAACGGGGATCACCGTTTGATCACTCGACCGCTACAAAAACAAAACGATTTGACCCTTAACTCCTAAAAGTGATTGACATGTTACTTCTCACTAGGATATCCATGCATTATCCAGCAAACAGGTAATGAAAATACTCACACTTATCAGGTAGATGTTGTCTTGGTCTAACACCAAATTCTCGAAACTGTTTACAAGGAAATCTGTAGTAGCTAGAGCGGAGAATTAACAATCAGGTGTAAGAGCTCCGTGACAGTGTATGCACACTAGGACCCCAACCCTACAATGAGGGCCTTGCTGGGGTGATGGCTTTTACGCCTAACGATTTAAATTTTGGCTATTTTACGGCCAACGCTTAATTTTCATGGGGATTAAAAGAATTAATTTTAACGGTTTATTTTTTAATGACTAACGGTTAGAATTTGTCGATTTTTACGCTTACGACGGTCAACCCCATTGAGACTATACAATGTAGGAGTTTATCATTTCAACTCCGTATCAAACTTCTCCTTTCTCTGCCATTTGTGCTCGTTCTTTCCTTATCTGACAGATTATTGTCCACTTTACATAGGAAATAAACCGCACTTTCCATCGGTTTACCGAGTACTCCATCTTATGAAGAGGATAGGTGTGTTTTGAAGAGGTGAGTATAAACGCCCACGGTGTCACAAGGACATGAGTGATCTTAAGGCCTTGCAGTATTAAGTGGAATCAAACTGGAGAATTTTTTAAACCTTTTATTTCAAATCCACTTCGTGCAAAGTAACCACTCACTTACGAATGTAAATTAACTGAAATGCTATGAAATATAAACATTTATTTAGAACTGTTTGAGAACTACTGAAATTAGGATGGCTATGTGTTTGGGAATTGTTCAGGCTTGTTAGATTATCTTGAAATCCTTCTGCGAGTCTTCAGAGCCTTGGTTTGTCATGTGCTGCAAAACTACGCGGCATTCATTTTTATCTTCTTAGTGATGTGTCCTGCACCGTTGTAGTGGGGTTTAATTCTCGCACAAATATCGTCATCGCTAGTTGTGTTTGAGTTTATCCTTAACCTTGCTTAGAGTCCTCAACGGGGTGTTTTGTTTGCGTTTTAGTTCTCGAAGATTGGTTGTTTTTTCAAGTACTTTTTTTTTCATTTCGAATGTGTCATGAAATTGTTTGGATTAATTGTTCTTAAATACTCTGCCAAGGTCAGTTGTCCCGTAAGCCCAAACATGCCTACCCATAGGATATTTAAAAGCTTGTACTTAGGGCTACACTAGTGAGAGAGAGTCAGTCTCAGAGAGTGAAATAAAGTTCCTGAACAGACTGGTTGTGCCTCCTCTTACGCGAGTTGCTCAAGCTGGTTAACCCCAACAGTTTAACATAAATATCCCTTGGACGCCAGCCCTAGATGCAGCCAAATGCACGACACGCTCGCATTATATTACAACAGGCTAGAATTCGTATCAAGTAAAGGAAACACGGGTCAGGTATTAATCTATCATGTTAAAGTAGCTATAAGTTACACATTCAAATTTTCATGTACGCAGTTCTTACTGTTGGGCAACAAAGGCATAACCCCTTTCACATTGATGATAACAAAAAAGGTGGACGGTCATATGCAATAAAAACTCGAGGGAAACACTTCCCTTTATCTATTTATATGAAGGTGGAAATATTTCCGAAGTTCAGTTTGTCTCGTCGTGCTTTTCCTCTGACTAATACATACTAACACGGGTATGCTGGGTGACATTGGGTCCCAAGCCATGTTTTTTTTTTCGTAGCATAGTCTAATTTTGGATTAAAGGTCATCATTTGTCAGTGTTTTAGGATCATTTGTTTTCTTCGAGGAAATCTCCTGGCTTTGAATTTCCCTAGTCTTAGGTTATATAAATTGCAACTGAACATCTAGTAGGATTACAGTGTACATCGGAGACACCAGCAGAAACCTCACAATAAGACCAGCTGAACACAAGCGGGCGACGAGGAAAGGTGATGTCAACAATCACATTGCTAAACAACATCGATTTGCGAACCACACTATTAACTGCGACTCTACGCAATGCCTAACCTACTGCATTAACCACTTTCAAAGACTGACTCTGGTGAGCTGGTTTACTAACTTAGAACAGACGCCCCTCAACAGATGTCAACTACTACCGGCACCTTACAAACGCATTATTCATGACTAACATTACAAGCCGACTGGACACTCAGAACGACCTAACTTTAACATCGGATCGAAACAACCAATCACGACCAGCTTACGCCACTTGAGTCCTACAGCCAATAATATCACGTCAAAACTGACCAATCAGTTGATATACGAACCGGCCTTAGAACATTCGACTGACAACAACTATTTACCAAACTCTGATGATGATATCCGCTCAGGTTGTCGAAACGTCAGTCACTACTAGCTAGAACAGTCCTTCTCAGAACTTAACTCACACAGACGATGTAAATTGGCGGCCGCGAAGAGTTTCCATAGCTGGTGTTTCGAGCATGAGCTCTGTCATGGTGAACAGATCTCCCCAAGTAGTCTGCCATATCTAACCATCGGTCTGACATCTTTGCCGGATTACATGAAATGTACTCCTCAGACTTCTATGTGCTAACCCCGAGAAATTAGCAGATCGCATGTTCACATTACTTCACTTCCACTTTTGCATAGCTATGAGCAAAACTTGATCTTGTACCTTTCTATCGGTGACCTTTTTACATGTACGTAAAAGAAGCGGTTTTTTGAAACATTTAACGATAAAAAATTGCGATAAAACATTTTGTAAAAGCGTATTAAAAATATGTTGACGACGTTTCGACGTTTGGCTACCGTTATTATCAAGTCAAAGAGTGAAAGATAAAAAATGTTTTATTACTAAAAAGACAAAAGTTAATGGAATGTTCTTTTAAACAAAGAGTTTTGCGCGAATGGAATCGGTCTTCGTGTTGAGGGGTTGCGCTGCATGATGAAAAGCATCTCATAGACAAAACAGTTAAATTTTCCTTGGCACTTTTTTAGAATGCGGAATTGGCTTTCTTTGAGGAGGCTTGTATCCTCAAGCGCTATGAAGATTGCTTGCTCAGAACAACGATCCATCGTGCATATGCTCTATCCTCAACGACTGAAGCCTTCAATCAAAAATGCACCGAGCTACGTTCCATCTTTACCCGACTTGATGAGATGCTTTTCATCAAGCAGCGCAATCCTTGTCTCAATACGCAGATTGAATCCATTCGCGCAAAACTCTTTGTTTAAAAGAACATTCCATTACCTGTTGTCTTTTTAGTATTTTGATATTTTTTCCTTTCACTCTTTGACTTGATAGACCTTTTTAAAGGAAGATAAATTTAATTTTTGTCTGTCTAAAGTGACTCTTGTATGAAGTTTAGAAAAAGCTGGGCTTTAACCATATTTAGTCCCATCCCAAAGTGTGTGCCATCTATACTCCGTACGCCATTAGTCAAACTAAAAGTATCAAACACTGGAATGCCGTAAGCTGATAGATATTTTTCCATGCTCAAGTTAAAACGTGCGACACGATCGTTTTCAGATGGGACATCGTAGTTTGTATCCTTTACACTTCCAAGAGCGTGCACTGAAAGCCATATTATATACGGCCACGTTGCACCATTGGATTTCTTGATATTAAGCAAA